AGTACTGGAAAAAGAGGTATCGGTGCATCACTAATTTCTAGGAAGAAATTGTAGTTTGTAGTAATTAAATATTTGCTTAGTTATCACTAAAGCTCTCTCTATTTTTTTTGTAGACCTGTTATGCTTTATGCTGCCTCAGAAGTCTATTGGCGCATTTCCACTGCATGGTATGGCACGGTACGGTTCGGTACGGTGCACTTTTGCGGGGTTTTCCACTGGGTACAGTACCTGGTACTTTTTTTAGTACCACCTCGGTTGAGGTTCCAAGTGAACCGTACTGTTACCAAAACGTGACGTATAAACTCTGCTGAACTCGCGACACAAACACAACAGAATTAATTAGAAAGCTAGATTTAAATCAGCACAGCCAGCGAAGGATTGAGCGCAACTGTTTTGAACGAGCGCACCTTTTTTAACAACCAAAAAATGGCTGTTTCGTGGTCTGTTTAGGAAGTACAGACGTTCCTCTCGTTGATAGCAGAGGAGTGGATCCAGCGAGAGCATGATGGGGCGATGCAGGATGAAAAAGTTTTTTAGGAGTTGCGGCAGTAGAGGTGGCGCAACTATAACGACATGTGAATAATCCCGCCCACTCTAAAGCGTTACTAAACTGTAGTGGAAACGCAAACCGAGCCGTGCCGGGCCGAGTCGTACCACGCAGTGGAAAAGCACCATATATGAAGTCAGTTTGGGGAGGTACCTTTGTTCACAAACACTGCCTGCAAAGTCATTGCCTGATAGATCAGCAAGGCAACAAGTCAGCTACATAAGCTTTCGGATACAGCCGGTTTCACTGATAATAATGGGTTCTGTTTGCTTTTGGTACAATGTGTCGCGCCCTTCTCATCTGGTGTAGACAGGGTGTGAAAACTGTCAGTTAACTCTTAACTTTAGCATTTGTTTCTGTAGCGTAAAACACAACATTCAGACCAGTGTTGGGGGTAACGCATTACAAGTAACGTGAGTTACGTAATCAGATTACTTTTTTCAAGTAGCTATTCTTCATGCAATATTGTAATGCATTACTTTTAAAAGTAACTTTCCACAGTCCACCAAAGGAACTTACTAGAACATTCATGTTCCTTCTCCTCAGCATAAAGTCCATTCTCCAAGCCAGACTCTAGAAAGACTTCATTTGTTTCTTCTGAATCAGTGTCTCTGTACAGCATCCCAGTCCTTACCAGAATCTCAGAGGTCAACTGAAAAGATCACATAACACAATTAAATACGAGTTAAAAAGGCTCTACTCAAATCTTGTCTGTTTCCACACTGTATTTATGAGTTAGTCATGAATCGTTCAAATTTTTTTCGGATACAGCCGGTTTCACTGATAATAATGGGTTCTGTTTGCTTTTGGTACAATGTGTCGCGCCCTTCTCATCTGGTGTAGACAGGGTGTGAAAACTGTCAGTTAACTCTTAACTTTAGCATTTGTTTCTGTAGCGTAAAACACAACATTCAGACCAGTGTTGGGGGTAACGCATTACAAGTAACGTGAGTTACGTAATCAGATTACTTTTTTCAAGTAGCTATTCTTCATGCAATATTGTAATGCATTACTTTTAAAAGTAACTTTCCCCAACACTGATCCAGACACATATCAAAACTGACATCACTAAACAAACTAGACGTTTGAGATTAATCCTTTAGCTTCTTTTCCCCCCTTGCTTTTGTTTTCCATTGGAAAAATAATAATAAAGCTTCTTCTTTGCTGATTGACTGCTACTTGTGATAAGCTACCTAAAGTTTTTTTTATTATTAATAATAATAATAATAATAATGATATTCCAACTGTCCAGTCAAATCAAATGTGTTATTTGGTAATCAATGACATGCTTTTTTAGTGATAGAAGAAGAAGAAGAAAAAGAAGAAGAACCAACATTAATATTCTGGGAAGACAATAGCCTACAATTTATTTCATGGGGGTGGTAAGGGATCTGGATAATGAATAGAGGGTCACTGGCTTCTTAAAAGGCAAATATATTACCAGAAAGGATCAATGTGGTAACATTTCTAAGTATCCTTGCTGAAATATTAAATATTTAAATAATAATCTATAAATAGCTTAACTATTTAAAGTACCAATATCTACTCTGCGGAAAAGATCAGTGTTTTACCAAGTAGTTTTACCAAGTGTTGTTATAGTGCAGGACATAGTTATGCTAATCCACCACAGTGGACATTCTTATCTGGTCTTTTAATGAAGGTATACACTTTTTCCCATCATCTGAATTGTTGAAGGCAAGAAAAATGATTATACCAGTCAAAGTAGCACTGTCCTTCATTGGTGCCATCATGTTGTCCATTATCAGCCAACTCCAGTTCTACGCCAAGATGGTATTCGGGAGAGTTTTGCATGTTGCCCAGGTAGCGTAAGGTACCGGTGCTGATGCGTCCAGAGGGTAACATGATTCGGACCCTGTGCCCAATCTTCAGATCCAGGGGGGAGTGGGGTACAAACACTCGATGAGGTCCCCCTCTGCTCCTCCAAGACCTTACACTGAAGAAAGAGGTCATGCAAAGTATAGTATATAGTTTAAACATCAAGTAAAATTTAACACAGAATGTAACACTTTACTATACTCCTATGCAAAAGGGATTAATAAATGATTTGTTCATTAATACACAGATCTCTGGAATATGTGCTTCTGATTGATCAGTCACTGCATTCCACAGTCAAATATTTCTGTTTATGACACAATTCTCTGGAACACTTTATTGTGACAGTGTTTTAAGCTGGACATGTTCATTCATGCCTTGCTCCTGTCATTGAAAGGTACTATAAAAGTTACCTGATGTTAGACATGGCAGAAGTGGCTCTGGAGTCTGATGGGCAGGAGGTTTGACTGCCGCACAAACTTTTTTGGTCAACACCATCTCGAAGCAATTCCACATCAGGTCCCTTTTGCTGGTGTCTGAGACCACCTGCAGAAAGTTGGAAGAAATGTCTCATTTGTTCAAATTTATTTAATTTCAGTTATCCCCTCACAAGGGCAGTTCTGACATCCAGACAGTCCACCAAAGGAACTTACTAGAACATTCATGTTCCTTCTCCTCAGCATAAAGTCCATTCTCCAAGCCAGACTCTAGAAAGACTTCATTTGTTTCTTCTGAATCAGTGTCTCTGTACAGCATCCCAGTCCTTACCAGAATCTCAGAGGTCAACTGAAAAGATCACATAAAACAATTAAATACGAGTTAAAAAGGCTCTACTCAAATCTTGTCTGTTTCCACACTGTATTTGTGAGTTAGTCATGAATCGTTCAAATTTTAGCTATTAATTAGTTGCTTATTATGATGCATATTACTAGCATATTGGCTGTTTATTAGTACTTATAAAGCACATAGTAATGCCTTATTCTGCATGACCGTATTTTAGATCCCTTAATCCACCCCATACCTAAACTTAACAACTACCTTACTGACTATTAATAATCAGCAAACTAGGAGTTTGTTCAGGCAAAACTCTTAGTTAATAGTGAATATGTGTTCCCTATTCTAAAGTGTTACCAATCATTCATTCAACCAATTTGTCCAAAAATGCTGATTTATTCAGAAATGAAACAAGTGACCATCTTTATGATGCAGTCACTGAATCATTCGCTCAACTTATTTGTTCAAAAATGTGAATTCATTTATAAATGAAACAAGTGAACGTCTTTATGATGGAGTCACTGAATCATTCACTCAAACCGATCTGTTCAAAACTCAATCATTCAGGAATAAAACACCACTACGATGTGTTTCTCAATGTTGCAGTGGATGTGTGGCTTTGTTTTAAACTATTTTGATCTACATTGTCTTTTATTAATAGTGTAGCAATATTGCACTGCTCACACAAATCATTTTCAAACCAAGCAGCATTCAAAATCTGTGCGAGGAAATCTTTCACCTTTACATGAAATTCCCGATTATGAGGATTCCTATAATAAAACACGGGATTTTCTCTGTAAAATTTCACACCTTGAAGGTTTGGTTATATTCACGTGAGCTTCTTGAATCCATTGTGAAATCTGTTGGGGCAATTTCGCGTGGAATGTTTTGCAATCAAACTCTTATTAACACAACATATAAGAGCACATAGTTTCACACACCAGAGGGTTAAATTACTTTGCACTTCCTTATGTATTATGTAGTAGTTCATTAAACTGTTGTATATAATCCCACACTCAAGCAAGACTCCATTATGGCTGTATTGTATGTGTAATTTTCTTTAGATGAATTTGAATTTTCCAGAGGAATGCAGAAATTAAATCAATCGAAAATGTCCTGTCGCTTGTCAGTATTTAGTTTCATTTTGAAGAGACTTTAATTGTTCCTGCCAACAAGCTTTATGTTCTTAGTTCTGGCTTATGTACTGTGCGCGCGACAAACTGATGATATGAAAGTTTGCATTTCAAGCTTATCTGCCATGATAGATGCTATAGTAGCATTTAGTAATAAAGTGATGCCACATAGTCATTACACCAAGCATTTTTAAGTACTGCAACCTATGAGCATTGCTAGTTACTTTAGCCATCCCCATTAATTAACTTATGAAACAGTTATAGCATTATCAAAAAAGCATGCCTAGGCCTATATGTTGCATTTAGCAGAAGCGCCAGGCGATAAAAGCAGCAATGCCGATGAAGCAATAGTGTCACAGCATTATAATGGATTTATGAGTTTCATTTCTGAAATATTTTTAGACCCACATACCTGGTCTCTAAGATTATGTTGTCTCTTTTGCAGCTCCACAAACCGCGTCTCCCATGATGCTCTCTGATTTGCAATCTCTATCTTCAGTTCTTGAATCTCCCCCTCAGCCTTTAGCAGTCTCCTGAACAGGCCACTTGTGCGTTCATGCTGAACACAGTTTTCTGGTTTGGCCTTTTTCTCTGAGTCTGCATTTACATTTGTCCCTGCGAGATGCTTGACATCCTGGACAGCTACAGATTTATAAAAGTCTTTAGTGTTCATATTTTGGCAAATGCTGATTCTGTTTTGATATGAATAATGGAGTCAAACACTTAATACACACTTAAGGTCATTAATTTCAGACTGTACGACAGTCAAGACGCGTTAAAAACGGGTGCGCGCAAGAATCTCTAGCATTAATTTTGATCATGGCTTGTCTTGATCTTAGACGACCAAATCGTGGCCAAAATCGCACAGTGTGAGCCGGGCTTTAGGATAGTTCACCTAAAAATTAAAAAAAAACAGTCGCTATTTACTAACTTATATGTCATATGAAACCTCTATGACTTTTTACTTTAAATATGAATGTCTCTATGTTTTTTTGTCTGTACAGTGAAAGTCAATGGAGTCCAATGTTCTTTGGCACTCCATTTACTTTTACTGTATTGACAAAAACATAATGTCTTTTGTTTTCCTCTGAAGAAAGAAAGTCACAGATGTTTTGTACAACATGAGGGTAAATAACAGACTGTTCATTTTTGAATGAATGTCCCTTTAAAAATGTTTAAATCCATAATAAACTCAGATGTAAACTGTTCTGCTCTGCTTTATTTTAAGAGGTTTCTTAATTTGTAGATTTAAGTGAGTTGCAATGTGATTTCGTCAGAATACTTATCATTACGCAAAACTAGCCTGCCATCTATTGGACAGGTACAAGCATTACATTTACATTATAATTGTTAAACATTTAGCAGACTTTGCTTCCTTTGCATAAAAACTAATTGATGACTGCTTTTTTTTTTTTGTGATATTAGGATTTACCTGTGGTCAGTTTTGATGGGGGTTTATGGTCAGTGTCAGCTGCGTGCTGTGTCCATGATACAGATTTTAGAGCACAATATGGGCTGACCTACAGTACAAATAACATTTGATTCCATTTACCAGTGATTTGTGTAGCAGTACAGTTAAAACTACAATATATTTATAGAATGCATTAACACTGGCATTAATTAAAGAGGACATAATTACCCAGAAAAACCTCCATGTGCACAACAGGCCCTTGAGAGTCCAGACAACTGCTGACCACGGTACATAAGTAGCCATTTTATGAAGATTTCACATGGTGCTCTATTGCCTGCAATATATAGATGAAATACAATACAAGCCAAGCCATTGTTAGATTCCCATTGGATTAAAACTCAGAGTGGACCGCTGTGGCTTTGAGAGAAAGAGGAATCTATTCTGGTATTTATTTGCTCAAAAACATTGAAGCAGGTAAATACCTTGATACAATGCCTGGTTGAATGCTTCAGTAGCTGAATGAAGATCCCTCTTGAACTTCAGTACATAAGAATTAATCTCTCGGTTTGTTTCTCTTCATTTGGTTATCCAATGGCATGTTCACATGCTGACCAACCTGTTGCTACCAAGCCTGTTGCAGACGCGTCGAGAGTCTAGAGACCTAATCCTGTCTAATCTGATTAGTGACTGGCTTATGTGCTCCTCTTGTGTCCCATCACAGACTAATTCTGGTACCTGATCCTATTTTTACCAAGTCCATATATCAGTGTATTGTAGTGAGAAGTGATCGGGGAGCAGACTCCATTAAAACAAGCCCCAATCTAGCAAGATGTTTGTGTTTTAGTGAAATGTTTGCCACCATAACACCCTAAAGTATCCAGCGTCCTAAAACGTCCTTTTGCAACAAACTACAGAATCATATTGATAATTGATAACTATTTAGATTAATTAGAATTTATTTATAAAATATTCTGTTTTAACGATTTTCCACCTTAAAAATCATTTTTATGAACGGCCACCAAGTATTATGCTTTAATTATATAACTATAATTTGTGATATTGAGTATTTAGGACTACTTTTTTATGTTTGCTTGTTTGTTTGTTTTGTATTACATTTGTCACAGCAACCATAAAGTGTCATAATACTTTTTGTTTTCATTTCAACACTTTATATATCGGTTTATCATTTCAAACTCTTACAGGAAATTAGTTCACCCATAAATGAAATGTTGCTGAAAATATTTGAGATTTGTTTTTTTCATAGTAACAGATTTAGAGAAATGTAGCATTGCATCACTTGCTCACCAATGGATCCTCTGCAGTGAATGGGTGCCGTCAGAATGAGAGTCCAAACAGCTGATAAAAACATCACAATAATCCCTAAACCTTTACTTCCAGTCCATAATCCATAATAACACTTCCTTCTATGAAAAAGTCCATCCCCTGTTGTCTTCTCACATCAAAATCAAAATCAAAATCCTATTTTTTGCCATTGTTTTCCCAGCAAAATCATGTCTCTTCTTGATGTCACTTATCAAAACTTTAGACACGGTCAGTCAAAGGAAATCATTCCTGCAAAAGCCCATCAGGAAAGCTCCAGATAACTACTCTCTTGCTAGTGATGTTCACATTTTGAATTGAAAATATGTCACAGTATGTGATTCCTAATGTTATTCATAGTTGTGAATTTAAAAAGAGTAAAGAAAAAAATAGCTGAACTGTTTTCAGCACAAGTTTGCAGTACATTTGAGAGTTTCTAACATAATTACAGCCTTAAGTTAAACAAATGTTACAGAGGTCTAAAATGGAAAATAATATTGAGGAAAGGAAGAACCTAAATTAATTTTTAGTTTAATATTAAATTAAATATAAGTCAAATAATAGAAACATGAAAATGCAGTAGAGCATATTCATATTTTCACATAAAATGACATGTGGGATGGCCTGCTGAACCTATTAATTTATTGTTTTAAATATCTCAGCTTCAGTTGCGTATCATGTTTGTCTTAGTTATGTTTCAATCAGCATTTCATTGTCACAGATATCTCCGCTTTAGGTGCATAGCATGTTTGTCTGAGAGTATTCATCCATCATTCTAGACACATGTGTTTGTCCATAGTAAAATACAAAGCGCATCGTCATTTAACTTCTGTTTGAACATATCCGATAGCATGTCGCAATGAAAGGCGCATTTTTCATTCAGTGTGAATTCTGATGTTGATCCTGAGCTTTCAAATGAAATTTGAGCTTAAAATGACGTGACTGATTATTCTGTGTAAATAGTCGGCTGTGTATTTTTGGATTGTCAGAAGTGGGATGGGTGGAAAATTGTGGCCTGGTGTAAACAGCAGTTTAATGTTACCATAAAAGCATGGCCTCTTTAACAGAAACACTAGGGAGCGTGTATCTGTCTTAAAGGCACAGTTCACCCTAAAATGACAATTCTGGCACCATTTATCTAATTGTATGGCGTTTCAAACCCACATGATTTTCCTTATTCTGCGGAGCACTAAATATTCCTTTTTGAAGAATATCCTGACCACTCTTTTCCATAAAATGAAAATGAATGTGGATGGTGTCTGTCAAGCTCCGAGGTTATCGGTAAAGAATTACATTTTACTTATATGTTTTAGTCTGTCAGACATGTGCACTTAAACTAAAAATATTAAATTTTTTTATGGATTAAATCAAGTAGAAATAACCCCTGAAGGTAGCAATTGCAGGTTTGCAATTATTACAGTGATTATTAATGGTTCTTACGTAATTGTGTCTCCATTTAGGTTGTCCGTCAAAAATGCACCTTTTCAGTTCCAAAGAAGAAATTTGTTCAAATTCTTCCAAATCTGACCTGTAAATCGATGGGCATTCATAACATGTGATATTAAAGTGCTGTTAGCTGTCGAGCAGCGTTTGGACTCTCAGGGGTTTCATTAGCACGCTCTCCGAGCACCTGTCCACCGGGACACGACAGACCATACAGCCTTCTGAATTTAGATGCAAGCATCTTAATGAGGGATCTTATCGGGTCATTTCTCCTCATTCACTTCAGTTATGAATACCTGCATTGTTATAAATGACAGAACATTTTCATTCATTTCATTAAAAACAATTGACAGTGTTTGTACAGTGCTGTTTCCCTGTCTGCCAGTAAATAGCCTGTCTGTCAGTAGTGGCTGTACCATGGTATCAGATACTGTAAGTGTCACATTATTTGATATAGCGTCCTACCATCTAATCTTTAACTGATTTTGTTTCATTCAATAATTTAAATATTTTTTTAATATATATTTAACAAACAGTTTTTTTGTTTTTTTTTTACTTTTTGGTACTTTTTAGTGTGTATTGTATTCTCGTATCATTAAATTAATAATATGTTTATTGTTATATTATTAGTAATTATATTTCTGTAGCTCTTTTTTTTTTACAGTGCAATGAACATTGAATGCAATGTACAGTAAGTCACTTTATGATAAATGAAAACATTTAAATTAAACAAATATAAATTTAAACACAAATTATAAAGTTATTATACGTTTGTATTAGTTTTTGATATATTTTTTCATGAACAATTTAATGAATAATATTAGATGGAAAGTTATTTGCCTGTATCTTAGACATGACCATATCATTTGATTATAGTTTTACTGCAGTTCAACAACATGCATTTGTCCCAATTGAAGTGCAGTAATTATGAAAATGAGAGATGCAATGCAAACGTATCCCCTGGCTGCGAATGGAAATGCAAAGCCACATATTTGAGAGCAAAATTTTACAGATGACAGAAACGTACTATATTTCCTCCTGCTTACTACGAACACAGGGCTTAGCTCTGATCATCCCTTCCTCTTGGAACAATTGTTTCTTGTGTTTATCTTTAATATTTAATAAAAAATATTTGTGAGGAATCCTATTAGAATGACTTTTTAAATGTTGATGTTTAATATTCTTTATCATTTTTTTTTTTTGACAGTTGGGTCTCAAATGATCAGTTTTAGATTTAAATGGCATAGAGAAGTGCATAAGTTGTGCCATAACTGTGCATTTTCTGTGCTGCTTTGAAACAATATGTATTGTGAAAAACACTATACAATTAAATTTGAATTGAGTGGAACTAAATTGAACTGAAAAATGTTTTCCTCTAGTCAAGGAGAAAAGAAGCACTAATTAATACACTTCATTTGATTTCATGATGCCTGCAATCAGTTAATCGCAACAAAGTAATCACATTCTTCAAGCAAGCCAGTACAATAGAGATCTTATAGAGATCTGATAAAGAGATCCATAAATGCTTATTGTTAAGCAGACTATATTTTTTAAGAGGGATAACATCTGTTTTATCCTGTGACTGGCACTATGTATTAAAAAGTATGTATGGCAACTTCAATTTAAAAAAGAATCTTCAATGCCTTAAAAACTGAAATGAAATGTAATAAAAACAAACAAACAAGAAAAAAAAAAACATTTAATAATGCATCATAAAGCAAATGTATAATCCCATTCCAAAGTCATATCTTGTTGCACAGTATTCTCATTCTAAAAAGATCATAAACCAAACAGGAATGGGTTTAGTATTAAGAATATTTTAGCCTAGTGACACAGTTTAGGTTTGCCATTGCTATGATAAACTCTTGATAGAAAATATACAGAAAGATCCTTTATCCGAATTAGCAAAGATTTTATTACTTCATTATTATGTTGCTACATCCAAATTATTTGCAGAGCCTGAGCTATTTTTTATTATACATAACTCCATGAAAAAAATAATCCTTGATCATTTTCTTTAGCAAATAGGTTTCTCCCTAAGACATTTGACCTTCACTTCACACTTTGTCAGCTAGATAAATTTCCTGCATTTGAATGCAAAACTTGCAAAAGCTTAGCTGGAAGCATCTGGCACACCGTGCCCAGAGCTATCATTTAGAGAAAAAAATGTATAATTCATGGCCAGTCTTTAGCCAAATAATTTACATGGTTTTATAGATGCATTATATACACATATCACATTTGCTTTGACATAAAACTCATTGCACCTGCCTATAAGCAATTTACTTAAACATTTTTATCCTTAAATCTAACACTAAAATGTGTATAATGGCAGCTGTCATTACTCCAGTGAAGTACTTAGATCTGAGGAAGAAATTGTGTTTTGTTAGCAATTGAAGTGAAACAGTAGTATACGACCCTGGGAGACAATCCACTTGTATTGAGTCCTGTCTGTGGTCTCCTCTACACATCTGCTTCCCCTTCTGTGGTAAGCATCATTGTGCTCAATGGGAATGGAAGAGGAATTGCAGGAACTGATGGATCTTGTAGCCTAACCGAATGCAAATAATGAAAGCCTGCATCAAGAAAACAACAGTTGTGTTGCCAGGTCCCAGTGTAGCACCTTCAAGCAGCTCCACAACACCATCTGTTACACCTGAAGCAGTTGGTGTTGGTGCCACTCTGACTGAATTATTTGTTTGTTATTTTGTGCCAAGGAAATGAAGCTGCCCAAAGTTTAACCTCAAGGGTCTGAGCTGGGTGAGCTGAAGGAAGTTTTTGCTGGGAATATGACGGCAACATGCCTCCTGTCATCTTCCTCTATTTCAGTTCTACTTTCAGCTGGGGACAGGCAAACCACACAAACAACTAGTCTTTTCAAGGCTG